AAACCCGTTCATCATCATCTCCTGCGGTTTCGAACACGCCTGTTAGGTGGCTTCTGATGCTCGTCGAGGTCGGAATTTCCAAATACGCGTGGTGCGTCGGGCCGCGCGCTCTGACTTCGGCCAAGAAAAATGCGTCAGCTGATCATTGTCATTTCTGCCACTTGCGTGTGGTGAAATGGGGTCATAACTTATAAGACGGCTTTTTCATATCAATTATTTTACATAAAATCATATTTCAAACCATAAATAATGTTCGACAGCCAAATAAAAGAAACAATACCAATACGGGCTTACAGTTTAAGGCTCGACATTGTGTTGTCTACGATTAGACAGCTGATAACTCATTCCCGTACGTCGTATGGTCGTAACACTATAATGACCTTTGCTTATTGTCACAAGTGCGCCGCATTCGCGATTGTTGCCCGACGCCTGTTTGCAGGTGAGCCCACTACAGTTGTTATACATATCTAAAAACCGAAAAACTTTTAGGCGAAAAAGGCACTATTCCAGGCCCATTTTTGATTTTTTTGCGATATTAGGTAAAAACAGAAGCTTCTTATCCTAGGAAAAATAAAATAGGAAATCTTTCAAAGGTGGCACACTACCTTTAAAGGGACCCTCCCACCTTCAAAAAAGTTTATGAATTGGCATGAAAGTGATGTCGCTCGGTTCAGAAAGAGCGAAAACGAATATCTACCAAATTTCATCGAAAAATATTCACCGGTTTTCAAGATATTAGACTTTTACTTTTGTTTACTTTTTTGGGATCTCCGCTGTTTCTAGCGACTTTATTTTAGAAGTGCGGCGTTTGCGGCAGATGTTGCGCGCAAATAGCATATACCACCGCGTGCTACAAAACGTTTTAGTCAAACATTTAAAAATCGTTAGATATCTGCGCTGACGTCACACATTCAGAGGGGTATTCCTAAGCATTATAGCCCCTCTGAATCAAAATGCTGCAATTTTGAAATTCAATATTTCCGATTTAAGGCATTTCTCGATGTTGTGAGTGCCGAAACCGGTAATTGTGAGCCAGGGACCCCATTTTGGCTATCTCAACTCAAATCTAATGTTAAGGTGGGAGGGTCCCTTTAATCCGTAATTGGCACAGACCGCACGCACGTTTATCATAATGAGCGGCAAATCACAGCGTCGTTATTAGAAGTGACATTCATTCATTCAATATGTGTTTCAGAACAAATTGTAAGCATCTATCAATTAGACTCCTACTAAGTTCGCTTCTCGATGAAATCCACGTAGAAGAATGCAACGCATGGATACAGATTAACCTAAAATATTATACCACCCCAGCTACCTATACTTACCCAGACAATCTCTGCTGGACTCGATCGTCAACCAAAGCACAAAGACTTCGGACCCGTTTGCTGATGATGCGAAATAGCGTGCCCGCTCGCCCACGGCTACACACATGATACGTGTAATTCACGCTTAGCGGTGTTGGCCTTGACAGCAGCTCAGCGCCACTTCCGCCGCACCCGCGGAGGTGGCGCCGCTTTGGTCATCGTGCACAGTCTGATCCTGACAGAGTACCAGGGCTCGAACAACGACCGGTGGGGACACATGTCCGAGAGCGAGTGCCGCTATAAACCGGGGCGTTGTTGGGGTGTATGGGGATCGGGATGGTGTCGAAATATGTGGCGCTGTGCACTGGCTATATCATCATGTTCGTCAGCTCGCACGGTTGTTTCCGGCATTGTAACAGACAACACCATGCATGAACATCCGTATGCGCGAGTCCTGTGTTACAATCGGACCGAGTTCAATTCCTGCTACTTAGTTCCCAGTACTGATAAATGCCCCTTTAGTGTTACCAAGTCTCGTCAGGTCCGAGCTCGTCATGAAGTCGCGCCAAACTGTTGTCCAAATTCGCGGGCCGTACCTCCGCGCCGGTCGCGGTCGCCGTCCGGCTAGCCGTCGCGTCGGGCCGGTTGGCCTGACCTTGGCTGGCAGGGCCGGCAGAGCCGGTTGGCGTCACCTTGGACAGCGCACGGCGCCGGTCCGCGGCTCGAACTGTGCAGCAGCGGGTCCACCAGCAGGACACCCCACTCCAAGCGGTCGGCAACCGAGACCGGTCCGTGCATAGCTCAACGGCCGTACATGCATTAGCGACCCATTGTGCATGACGTGCGTACATGACAGTCCTTTCAAACCGTGAGTGCTCTTTTCAATGATAAGCTGAAATCATTAAATGGAATAATTACCGTCAAATGCGACGGACTTGTCAACAATTTTATACTTCTCCCTCTCCAAATAAGCACGAATTCACACCTGGCGTGCCAATCCGTGCAGACAAATGCAATGTAATTCAGGCTATCGGGCCGTCGGTCCGGTGGTATCAGGCTAAATATGCATGCTGACGGACCTCAGCCAGCGACAGACAAGGTCTCAGCAACGAACTTCTACGCCTTCGTAACGGTATTGACTTTCAGCAGCGAACGGCAAAGAGCGAGCGGGGATGGACGGGGGCGGCCCGGATGGCACCGTGCACGATTTTCGTTGGCTGGCGACACCATGCTCACACCGCTCACATTGGGGAATGCCGAAATAGAGATGAGACCAGAGCACGAACGATAGGCGGGCTTGTCAGTGACAGGACGGATCTACATCACGTGTCGGCGCGAGACAAGACGAGATGGGACCGATGCGAAGAGCGGATGTCGGCTTTTGGAAAAATGGGGCGTTAAGTGTATTTTGAGGATGTGCTACTTCAAATTAAGACATTATATAGTGCTGGTGGTGAATCTCATGCAACCAAAATGGACGTCCTATCCCTTCCATTTTTCACGGAAAGTGCGAGTTCGAGCTCGAGACTGATGTTCTTCCTTGGTAACACGTAAAATATTCAGGGAGCGTCGGTAAAAATGACATTAGATGGGTGCAACTTTCCACTACCCAGTTACCTTGACATTTCAGTAAGCTTCGGCACGGTTGATCCATTTACATGCGACATAAAATACATGTTTTTTCAAGGTTGGTCGCAATATTTCCCTTGGATCTTGTGACAAGTCCCTTGTCATGTTTACCATTATCTCGTCATCGGCAATTATACACGAAAGACAAAAAAAGCTGATAATGCCATCAAATGTTTCGGTTTCTTCAATTTTTTCCCCATTGCGGGCATGTCAACAATTTTATACCGCTTTTCTTTCTCCAAATGAGCGCAAAGTTGCATCTGATGTGCCAATCCGGCCAGTTCAGATAGCTGCTTAGAAATTATGTATCGTGGCGTTCCTCTGTATTTGAAAGACGGACGTCACTTGCACTTATAGACGGTACGGAAACATAAGGTAACAACCCTCATTATGGTCAACACTCAACATTTAGGTGCGACGGAAGGCATTGAAGCTGAAACATGTGCAATGTGCATTGCAGTAACTACGTAGTACATATAGGTATGCACCTTATCCGATTATCAAAATGTGTTAGTGGGGGGATTGCCCTTGCCACAAAGTCATTCCTTTAGATAAACAGGGTGGTTGAAAAAACGAGATGATAAAGAATCGGTATATCTCGATAAATAATTATGCTAGAAAAATGATTAATATGTCATTCAAAAGAGAATTGTTGAAAGTATTTTATGGTACGTCGGCTTTTATTGTGCGGCACGAATTAAAGCCATACCACGTACAAACATCTCATTCTCGTGCCCAAAAAGATTATTTTTTTAAGTTGGCAAACTTGATCTCTTTATCCAGCGTCATTAGGTGTTATGAATCAGTTCACAGACGAGCAAAAGTTCCAATGCTGCTATTGGCTTGATCGATATTAATCTCCCATTCTCGTAAAAAGGTACATTTCATTAAAAAGCCCCCATCGTCATGGGTATGCCAACTTGGTAAAAAATATTTTTTGGGGGGGGCAGATGTTTGTACGTGGCATGGCCATAATTCGTGCCGGACAATAAAAACCGACGCATTATAAAACACTTTCAACAATTATCTTTTGAATGACATGCTTTACTTTCCGAGATATAACGATTCTTTATCGTCACGTTTTTGTTAAAAAACCCTGTATTTCAAACCACGTAACAATTTCATAAATCTCTTTGCCGTTTCTGGACAGTTTCGTTTTTTACAAGTTTATCTACTCAATGAACATTTTGTCTCCGAACTCCGAGTTTTGACTGTTGAGCCAATTAAGACAAAAGGTTATGTCACAGAAGCATAGCGTCGGCATATACACCCATGTTCCATCCCGAGTTTTGCACTCAAAGCTTGATAACTTTTTACTTTCGTTAGCTTTTTTTACTTTCGAAGGTTAGGGCTAAATATGCATTATTTGGGTTGATTTAAATGTTGAAAGCAATATTGTTATTTTTAACGCGAGGGACCGAAACCACCGACTCCGATGGCCAACTCTTCGTACCTAAACCTTATGGCTTATCGTTATGCTGAGCGGCGACAACTGGAGAACGGTGCCGAGAGAATAATTTATTAAGGGAATCAAACTTCAGTTCATTGAACAGAAACGATGCCTCTATCAAATATCAATTCAAAGTCTAAATCAAATTAGACCCGAAATGTCCCTTTTCTTGTTTCTTCAAAGTTCAACCAGCTTTATTGGCTCTGCGAACAGCTACCAATTTTCATGTCGAGCCATCTTACTCTTTGTTGTCTTTGTTCTTTGTTATCATTCATAAGCTCCAAATTTGTTGAGCAAGAAGCCTATCTCGCGGTTAAAATCCGTCGCCCCAATTGGCTCACCTTACGGTATATGCCCACGGAGTTCCCGCGGGTTCCGTGTTCGGTGCTAAGCCCTCGCGAGAGCGGGATAGGGCCCCGGCCTGAGGAAGGGCGCCGCACCAGATCGCGAACTTAACTCAGGTGCCGGCTTATCCTTGTTCGCCGTATCTGAATTCATCGCCCCTGATGCCGTGCTCAACAGTCGGCGGCGGCCTTCCATGAATCGGGCGGGTGATGTGAGGCGGCCAGTGCGCATGCGCGCCAGCACCGGGCGGCGGTGCACGAGCGTCGCGCGCGGCGCGGCGACGGGCAGTTGTCTGCGCGAGCCGGCGGTGAGCGATGCGCGCGGCCGACGGCGCGACGGTCTATGCCTGAGTGGAGCCCCCGCTAACAGTGCACCATGCCGAAGACATTCCGTTTGCGAGAGCAGCTGACTCGCAGCTACGATACCCTCCTCGGTGACCTCAAGAGCCGCGATGAGGACGTGCTGCACCGCAAACATGCGGGAGAGAACGATGCCGACTTCGACGGCCTCGAGCCGGAGGAGGAGTTCAAGGTGCCGCTGCAGAGGGAGCAGCGGAAGCAGCAGCAGCAGCAGCGCGAGCCGCTGGACCTGGTGAAGCAGAAGCAGACGGCCAAGAAGCTCCCGTTCTTCGCGCCAGGTCAGTCCAGGGTCGGGTCGCGCCGCGCCGGATACGATGGTGTCAGTGTGATGATTGATGTCGATGATGTCAGAACAGCTTGGAGTGCGGGGACCGTTGTGCGGTTTTTCACTATACCTCTATCTGGACTGGCTGCATCGGCATCATGCATGTTGACATCATACCCATGATCATCGTATGGTCTTGTTATGGCATATTCACTATAAGGGACAGTGATGCGTCGTGTTGCTATATCTTCTTCTTGTTATTATGATACCTTTCAAAAGTCCTCCAAGTATATTCCCAATCACCATCATATGCCTACCTACTATTTGCACCGTGTTGATATTGCTTGGAATCACACGAAATGTTTAGGTACGTATGGGCATGTGCTAAGTACATGTGCTTCACTCATTTCTATTACAGCGTGTTTGCCATGCTCTTGCCGTTCCATGGCCTAATAATTATTAATGGATAATTATTATCCATTAATTATCATACGTCTTAGGATAATTATTAATGCTTAAAGTATGTTTGATTAAGATTAAAAATTAATTAAATTGAAATTAAAATTAATGCTATTATAATTACTTTACTTCGTGAGTGACTGAGGTAAGGATAAAGATGCACTGAAGACCGCAGCGCTATGCCGTCTAAGTTAATGTTGGAAGGGACAACTTATGCGATATGCAAGTCTGTGATAAATAATCGTCGAAAATGTATGCCAATACGCACAGGAAAGCGATATCTAGTTTTCGGTCCTGAAGTTTTACATGGGTATCTTACTTTCCCATATTTTCGTATAATGATAACGGTTTTCCTGTTGGGGGCCATGAACTGCATTTACATACGGACTGAGATGCAAACAGCACTGTTTTTGACTTTCCCACAACTTCCTACATGCGATAACGCTAATTATTTGCAACAGACCAGACGGCACTGCTATTTTTCTTCGACTCAAATCGAACGTAATCACCACTTTCCTCAACCTTGTGGTCGCAGCACTGCAGAAGCGCTTTGCAAACATTTTTTGTTTCGGCCTTCAAGATAAGCACTACATGGAATCGGCGCTGAAAGCGTGGTTCATGGACATGCACGTCTGGCTACCCGTTCAAGGATATCAGGATCGTTCGAAAAGTAAAAAACGTGGGCAGATGGTACGAGCAGAGGAGTGGGTTGCAAAATTGGCGCTGGCCATACCGCTATACGGAGGTAAATTACGGCGAAAAACAAAGGAATGCTTAGCTTCATTCCTGGCTCCTTCAAGGGAAGCTTTTCATTACTCATACATACCAAGGCAATTAGGTACTGTTTTTTTACGTGATTTTACTTTTGCCCATGCATATTCACGTTGTGTAAGAAAAAAAAACATCAGTGGTTTGATCTATGTGAAGTCACGCAGCAGGCCGTTTAAATTGTGAATTAAAAAAGAAACTGTAATAGGTACGCAATGTGTTTCTCCTTTTTATGAATGACTGCAGTCCGGAAGAAACTTTTACTCCTTTCGTTATGAACCGATATGATTAAGCTCAAATAAAGGTTTTATTTCGTAGGATAGCTCATTTCAGAGCTCATTAATTGTATGGGAAGACCTGCTGATGATTAATGCTGCGACTTGTGGGTGTTCCCACCTACATGTTTTTGCCCGACTTGATTGTCTTATTTCAGTAATCGATAGGAAAATGCAGTATATCCATCGAATAGGAAAACCGTCAAGCTAACCAAATTATCAGGATAAACGTTAACAAAGCAATGCCGTTGACCATAAGGTCTGCGGGAAGGCTAAAAGTCTTCACCAAAAACTAAATCCCAAGTTTAGGAGGTAAAAGTTTAGAGCGTTGTTTATAAGGGAGGTCATGGGAGGTGAAAATGATAGTTCCATCGTTTTCTACCTGAAAAGTTTTGCAATGCAATTTACCAGATGCCTCATGTTTCTAATAACATTAGAATAATCAATTTATTGTGGCGTATAGCATGCATGGAAGACGTTGATGCTTAAAATTTGCTGCATAATCGACATTTTGTTGGATCGTATTTACCAACCTACTTCAATAAAAAGTGAATATGCTTATAATTGCATCAAATGACAGTGACAAAGGCTTTAAAATAGCGTCCATGCATAATTGCCTTTCCGGCAAGGCAACACAGTTCTCGAAATATATGAAGATTAAACCATTTCTACAAAAATAGATGTAGAAAAATAGATGATCAAAAATAGTGATTCAGTCGCCTTGATGAGATCAAGAATGCAGCTATCGTTAACCAAACCGTATACGAGTACCTATATACCTGCAGATTTACTATTAAAACAGTCAGATAACATGCCCTGATACTAACGGGCCGATCCCGGACAATTTGAGGGAAGGACTTTCCCAGCTCCATAGCTAACGGGTTTATAATCCTCTTGAACGACAGCTCGTGAGTTTCCACAATCTCGGCATCTATCGTCGTGAGCCGTTTTCTCTTGCATGAGCCAAAATATGTCATCTTCGTGTTTTCATATCCATAAACGTGTCACTTTTTGAGTAATCCCGGCCCGAAATCACAGCCGACGCCGTGGTTCGGACTCGACAAAACGTGACAAAGGCAGCGTCCTACAACCGTGCCGGGAAGATGACATCGTGATTACCGGGCGGCTAATCCCCTGTGCCCGTTACATTGGGCACCCAGCCCATAAGCATCCTTGGTCGTGCTGTCCTGCTGGATTCCATAGCCGAAGCTCCGCCTCAGTCCATGTCTGCCGGCCGCTCAAATTCGCGGCCCGTGATTCAGTGCTGCCGTTCCGTTAGTGAGAGTCAGCTCGGGCGGGCGCGCCGTGCCGGCCTCGGAGACAAACCCCGCGGGGCCCGGCGTATTTACCTCAGCGCCGCCGGGCCGGGAAATCTGATGCTGGGGCGACGATAGCGGGCCGGCTCCAGGCCCCGGTCTGGAGCGTGCAGTATACTGCAGAACGGGGCCGCCCGATAGCCCGGCAGCCCGGCCCGCCTGGTCAGCGGCGCTCAAGGCCAGACGGCCGCCGCGCCGCGTGCCTCCCGGCCAGAGGTGCAAATTCCACCCTACCCGTGCCCACAACGGGCACACAGAGGGGTGGACGAAAAACGAGTGTTTTTCAGGCTGCCTTGAAGTGTTGCCGTTAGAGTGTAACTATAACCAGACCGAGCTAAAGTTGGGGTCAAAGTACACTAACACACGGTCACCGAATCAGTCAGCTTACTACAGAATCTTACTACGGTAGGTCACTCTGATCCTTCCCCTCCCCTCCTCTGAGCCCGGGATCAAAACACCCCTCCCATCCCTCAACCCCAGTAGGATTCCACCAAGAGGTCGGTCCCGATCAGCGATTGGTTGATTCCGTCACCGCCGTCCCCCAATCACACGCCAGAACGTGGGCCCTCGGGCGTACCCCAGCGCCGTCGGGAGGGAGGGGAGGACCGAACAGGATGGGGGGGGGGGGGGTAGCGGGACGGAACAGCTGACGCGCGTGGAAGGGGAGCGAGCGGGCCACGCACAAGGCAATAACAACTCGGGCCCGGCGCCGACCTTTGGACGCAGCGCAGCCGGGGAGGACCGATGCCCGTAGTGCCCTTGGCCGTAACCCTGCCGGGGAGGGGAGAGGGGAGGACAGATAGAGGATATGGTTAGGGAGGGGAGGGACAGGCTGAGACGCCAAGGGAGGAAGGGAGTGGGGGAGCGAATGGATCAGGGTGAAACGGAACGTATCAGCCCCGCCTCACTCGCCGACGATTAAGACCGTGGTGTTGGTTGATGCCATTTAAATTCCGCCATTATCTCTTGAATCCCATTCACGTTCATGAAAAGAAAGTGTGAATGCTCATCAGGAAATTGGAATGCGCGAGAAACGGGAAGACGCGCGAGTAACGCGATCACGTCTCGGAGAATTCCCTGCCTAAACATAGCGAGCGCATGCCGCCGCATGGCTACCATTGTTTCTATCTGGCCATCGTTCCCTCATGCCAGTCTCGAGGACACTTTTCCGCCATACGAGAGCCCTAAGGGACGGGCTTTACTTATGCCAGAGCCTGGCCTCAATGACCACCCATTTACTTCATTTTGGTTCAGTTTATTTGAAAAAAGATCCACGTATGAGGATTTTCACTTTTTCACGTCTAAGTATCAGTAAAACAGTATGTCCATTCCGCCATACCAGAGCCCCATTCCACCATTCAACCACACCAGAACCCCGCAGGCGCTACTCAGTACTCCATCATACCAGAGCCCCGAGGCGAGGCACTATTCGCCCGCGGCTAGCTGTCCAATTGTCCGTGCGCGGCGCAGCGGCTCTGGTGGTCACCGGACATGTCTCACGGCTCAGCTGGCCACCGCGCCGGTCGAGCCACGCACTGTCTAGTGTCTACCCGCTGCGTGCGCGCGTCGTCCGTCGTCCCTTCCCCGCTCGGCCGATAATCATGTGTTTGTGCGCACGGATACACCGGACGGGCCCAGAGATACCATCATTTGGGCCAGCCCCCGCGGCAACGGCACCGGCGCTGGCGCTGGGGCTGGCGCTGGGGTGCTGGGACGGAGCCGCGGTGGCTGGCACTGTGTCAGTATTGCGGTCAGCCTCAGTAGCACTGGCACCTATCACACCCATGACACTGATGGAGCCTGTTCCAATGCTGGTAGCGGCATCAACACCAGATCCGGCCTTTCACCCCACATACCGCGCTGGGCAAACTGTAGCCGCCCGTATGACCCCCGGGCGTCCCCGCCCGGCCCCACGGCTCACCGCTAGCTCGGCACGAACCCGCTGTGGTGGTCGGGGCTCAGGGCCGCTGCCTGACACCGCTCCGGGGCAGGGCAGGGCTGGCCGGCCGGCTGGACACAAACGTGGCTGAAAGGGCAGGCCGGGGGGAAAGGGGTGACTGGACCGGGCGGGTTAAGTTCAGGTGTACTGATTGGGTGATAACACCGTTACCGTCTCTCTCTGTGGAGTAATCTAAGGACATTGCGCCAGGACGGACAGATAGCATCTAACCCAATCGCCATGGGTCGATTATGGA